CAGTAATTTAATTCACTCATAAAATTTTTAGAGGAAAAATATGTTTTTTATGTGCAATTTTGAGGTCCTGGATCTCCATCAAAGTGGAGCACTTCAGAAACTTTATTTAACCAAGAAAAGAAAACAGGATTTTGCTGGTGGAAGGGAATTTAAAACTTCACTTATGCTCAGGAAAAGACAAAGGGATTTGCGCTCAATGCTAGAAAATTTCCAGATGCTTAATGATTTTTTCCACATAGAAGATGGCGTCGAGAAACTCCTGTTTAAAATTCCCAAATGAAAACGAAAATTTTAGCATTTATGAAGTCAATAAATGGAGAAAATTATAAACAGTAAAAGTGGGAGCCAGAAGAACGAGGTTTGCTACCCAAGCACCTGACTTACTATGTAGTCTCGGACAGGTCATTCAGACTCTGTGTCCACATGCCCAAAAGGGACGTCGGACAACATCCACCTCAAAGAATTGTTCTGAGCTTTGTAAATAGCAAAGAAATACAAATTTATTATTTTAGTTGTGATTCCATGATCAAGTAACATCTCTGCTTTTGTGTATCATGCTTTTTCACTGTAGAAATGGAGAACTGGTTATGCAATGGTTTGGTTTTCTCATTTTTTTCACCCTATTCTAGAAACTTTCTTAGCTAACCAGGATATATAAGTCAGTTGGCTGCTCAGTGAGTAAATATTTATTGAGGTCTTACTATGTGCCAGGCAGAGATACAATTTCTATCTTGATTTGCATGCAGTCTAATGGGCATAAAATTTTTGGTCTAACATTCTTTCCCACTGCTTTCCACTGCTATGAAAATTGTTTTTCTCTTTTGAAAAATTCGTCTTATGCCTGCCGTGGCATGACACACCCACTTACAGTTCTTTGCCTGCAGATACTAGCATGACTACATGTTTGTATGGCCTCATCGTTTGTTAAAATGTGGAAATACTCCAACAGCAGTTGGGGAATAGCCACAAACCTGAGCCCCAGGAGTGCTCCCTTACTCCCACAGTCCCGTTCATTGCTGCTACCTCCCTGTCCCAGACCCGGCCACCCCCCAGGTCAGCTAAAGGATCAGGGAAGGCCTAGCACACATGTCAACTGGACCTAGCTCCTGAGTCCGTTCTGAGTATAAGATGCTACTATCACCCTGTCTTCCAGAATGTGGAAGAGTTCTCACTGGCTCTCCCACTCCTCTGATTTCTCCCAGCCCTCAGGTCACTCACTGCTTGACCAGAGGCCCTCCTGTCCTACCTGAGTCCCTTCCCCTTAGCTCTCAGTCTCATTCCTCTGTGCTGCCTTCGTGTTGTGTGCACCCTGATCATCCTCGGCTAGCCCTGCCCTTGGCATTGCTGCCCAGGTTCTTCCTATAGATTGTCCTGTACAACCCAAACCAACTCTGTAGGGCTGGAACATCACACTGAAAGCATGTGGCCACAGCAGTGTTAAAATATTGAAAAAAATAAGTATCAATAGTAAATTGTCACTACTCTGAGTGTCCTCCCCACTCCCAGTACCCCAATAACACTGACCACTCCTCCAAGGCTTCTCCTGTCCTCCGCACAATCCAGTACCTAACCTGGCTGTGCTCCAGGACTGTGGCCAACCCCTGCTCTCAGGGGTGCCTGTGCTCTGCTAGGGTACAGATGCTTTTTCAGCCTTCTCTGCAAAGAACTATAATGTAGAGTGAGGTAAGGGCTGTTCCTCCATTTATGATTCATTGATTCATTCTGCCAATACTTGTCAATCACTCACTGCGTCCAAGACACTGAGCCAAGCTCCAGGACCTACAAACTGGATGACATCTGTGCCCTCAGGGTACTTATATTCTGGTAGGAGAGACAGGCAGTAAGCAAGAAGATAAACATACATACATGAATAAAGATATATTTTGACTGAGGGTTCCAAAAGAAATGGGATTAGCTTTGGGAAGTCAGAAGTGGCTTCAGAAAGAAGGCTGTGTCCAACATGGGCCTTTGGATGCACAGGGCTTCTGCAGGCCCAGGTGAAGACGAGCAGCATAAACAGGCATCAGGACACATGCCTATGTTTAGAACCAGGAGTTCAGTTTGTCTTGACAATGGGGTACACAGAGAGGAGTCCAGGGAGATGAGGTGAGAAATGTAAGCAGGTTGACTGAGCCAGCCTCTTCTCACACCTGAAGGTGGACTTATACCATACAGAACAGACAAACAGTAGGTATACAATTCTCAGCCTCATAGCCCTCCAGCAAAATACCTGCCTGAGCATGCACTAAACTGAGCTTAGGTCCACCGTATGAGTTGGGCAGCTTGCGCACTAGACAAATGCCAGCCCAAGGGGTGAGCAGGGAAGCCCTTGCTCCCCCCATCAAACTGGATACACTGGTGTGGGCTTTTCTTAAAACACTTTTCCCTGGCCCCACTTTGTGCCAGAGGGCACTTTTTCCCATTTCACACAAAAGCCCAAGATAGGCTAGCAACAGCCCTACTCAGATACTCCCTTCCCTGGTCAGAGTGCTGTATTCCTTTCAAATAAATCCTCTGGGACATCCTTTTGTCTACGTTGCCCCATTTCTACTTCTATGGCCCTACCCATAAGCCCACACAGCCCCTTTATCAATGCTCTTGTTTATCTTGGCCAAGCACCCCACACACCTCTTACAGTGACCCCTTTCCCTTCATCCAGATTACTCCTGAATCCCACCCTTTTTAGTCCTTCCCTGCCCCACCCCTCCCTCTGTCTAAGTGCATGGCTCCCATACTTCCTCTTCTTTGATTACCCCCATAGAGATGCTTCTTCGATCTGTTTCATATTTGTGTGTTAACTCAGTGGGTATCTGTCACCTGTGGGTCTTTGGCATATGTGAATGCAGCAGTGATAGCTTGCTGAGATGATAAACTCCTAGAACTACAAATATGGCCTGTGAATATATCACTCACTTGGCTGTCATTAAAAGAAACCCGTGCCACTGTTGCTGTTGGTACCTGTGCTTCAGGTGGCATTAATTCATTGAGTCCATTAATCCGTTAAGTATGCATTGAACATTTAACATATGCTGAGCACTAGCAATCTAACAGTGAAGAAAATGTGGTCCCTTTCCTTAGAGAAGATATTTTATTAAGATTTTTTGTGTGTATCTACCATGTGCCAGGCATTGTACCAGACTTTGGGTATATAAAAGTAAAACAGTGCCTGTGATGAAGGGACAAAGACAATCACAATACAAGATGGTGCATATTAAGATCAAGGACTACTCCAAGTGCTGTGGGAACTCAGAAGGCTAATCTGGCCCACTTCACAGTCTCCAGGAAGAGACATTCATTCATTCATTCATTCATTCAATCAATCATTCAATATTTACCCATTCCTACTGCGTGCCAGTCCCTGTTTAAGGTGCTGAAATGATGAAATTCTTCCCCATGAAGCCTAAAAATTCTGGTAGGAGGGACAAGCAATGAACAATAAGTAACTATGGACTGTACTAGATGATAAGTGCCTGGAGAGAAATAAAAGCAAGGAGGGGCATAGGGAATGTCAGAGTCACGGGGGACGGGGGGGTGGGCTTGGTCCTTGTTTTGTACAGAGTGGTTAGGAAAGATTTCACTGAGATAACACCTGAGCTACCTGAAGAAAGTGAAAGACCTACCCATGTGATTGCCTGGAGGATTATTGTGCCAGGCAGAGGGAACAACCAGCACAAAGACCTGGGGACACAGGCTGCTTAGAGTGTTCAGGAAAGATCAAGTCAGCCAGCGAGGCTGGGGGCAGGTGAGCCAGACAGCTGTGAGAAGGAAGGAGGTCAACGAGAAGGCTAAGGTGTGGAGTAGGCGATGGCCTTGCAGCTGGTGGAAGGGCTCTGGCTTTCATGCTGAGTGAGGTGGGGAACCACTTGGAGGCTTTTATGGGGTGAGGGTGGCAAGATCTCACTTTCATTTTAAAAGGCCTACTCTGGTGGTGGTGTGGAAGACAGCCAGAAGAGGGCAAGGGAAGCAGAGGGACCAGCAAGGAGCTTGTAAGTATCCGCATGAAGTGATACTGGCTTGGTGTAACGGTTGGAGGTATAACGGTGGAAGATGAGCCTGCCTGGAGCTCATGGTGTTTCAAATGCTCAGGTGCATGCATATGTATTGTACAAAGTGCAGTGAAAGCACAGGGGAGACGGCATTGAGGCCAGTGCAAAATGACATGGTGAGGGAAGCTTTCACAGGGTAGACACTGGAGCTGGCCCTAGAGGATACACTCACAGAATGTGTGTATGTGATCCAGAGGCAGAGGGGAGGAAGGGGAAAGAGGAGAGGGACAGAGGATGTGTACAGGCGTGTGTTTACATTGGGAGCATTAAACAAGCCCTCAATCATGAGGGAACTGGCAAAATGAGGAATAGCACGTAGCTCAGGTTGCCCAGCTCAGAAGATTACCACTTACTTGGACAGGAGAGGAGGGATAGGAGCCTGGAAGAAGTTTAGAGCCAGTTGTGAAAGTCCTTGATTGCCATGCTAAGAGCTGAAACCCCATCCTATAGGCAAAACGGAGTCATCAGGGGTCTTTAAGTAGGTGGGTGATTGCCTCACATCCACTGAGGCTACCTTCTAGACTACTGACTCGTTTGTTCTAAAACTATCAAGAATTCCTCACCCCCACCCCAGTATCCTTCCCAAGGCATATCCCAATCATTGCATTTGCTATAAGGCTCTTGTATTACACTGTATTGCATCATACTGTATTGTGTTATAATCATGTCTATATGTGTGTGTGACTCACCACTAGTCTGTGGGAAGCAGAGGTCAGGGGCCACACATAGGTCATCTCTACATCCTCAGCATCTAGAGCATGTTCTAGTGTGTTCAATAAATGATTACTGGATGGATGGATGGATGGATGGATGGATGGATGGATGGATGGATGGATGGATGGACTGAGTCCTGGAAGTGAGCAATGAAAATGAGAAAGCCTAGAAATGCGGGGTGGAATTGACGAACAAGAAAGTTAAGAATAATAAAGGACCATATATGTTGGTTAATTGCAGATGTGTACAAAGATGGTCCAAGTCTTTTGGGGATGCTTCCTCCTGTGGAATTTCTACATCTCATCTGCTCAGACTACATACCCTGGAATCAAGGCAAGGGCTACTCAGCGGGCTCTGGACTATGGTGAGTTGGATGCTTTCAGAAGCCAGGCCACAGCCCCCCTCCCCATCCCACCTTGCCCAGGTGGAGTCTGTGACTCAAACCCAAAAGCGCATAGGGAGCTGTGTCATAACTGAGACAGGCTCTACTGTGAGATGATCTAGTCCGTTACTCAAAAGCTACTAAGATGGCTGGGAAGAAAGTGTTGCCTAAAAAATAACCACCTTCACAGCTGGCATATCCAAACACAGCCACAGATTCATTCTCGCCTGTCTCTCTCACACACATACACACACAATGAACATCTCAGAGCTCTAAAGGAGAGTGCATGATAGGATAGAGGAAAGGAGATTTGGAGTAAAAGTAATAACTTAGAGTTTCAGAAAGGGCTTGATTCTGAAAGAACCAGAGTTCCCTAAAATTGTGTGCAAAACTTAATGGAGATGATGCTTATGCATTTTTCCTGAGAAAGGCTCCATACATTTACGAGATGCACAGAGGAGTCTGAAACACTGAAAGATTAAGAACCGCCTCTTTAGAGGTATTTATAAACACAGGCAGAGGAGAATGCTGGGCGGAGATTTTCTCTGAGCTAAATTCGGATAAGGACAGATTATATAGAAGAAAGGACCTACAAAATCAGAATATGTGGGCCTGTTTCTCACCTGTCAACTTTTGCCTAAGATTAGCTAAATAAAGGTTGATCTTCACTAATGTCCCGTATTACAGATGAAGAAAGTTCAGGATAAAGAGATTTTGTAACTTGCAGAGTCACACAAGCTAGTTAGTGGCAGTGTTGGGATTCCCCAAAGCTCTGTGACAATGCTTTGGTTCCATCTTTCCATCCGCACGTTCTATCTCTACATCCCCATATTGCAGTATTACTTACGGTACTACAGAGACAAACTCTTGCCTACTTCACCTCCAACAGGGATAGAGTAAGTGCAAATGAGCGAAAGCCACAAAGTAAGGGGTAAAGGCAAAGCTCCCTCCTTAAGAAGGCTTCAGTAAACAGATCACTCTTCATAATGTGTCAGTTGCTTTTCAAAGCTCTTTAAGCTGGAAGGGGCCTCTTTCTCCCTGAACTCAAAGGAATCTGTCCTGCAGTGCTACCACATCAAGACAGGTCTATTCCTGAATAAAAAGCAGTAGTTTCCAACCTTTTGGGAGTCCTGGAATCCTATGAGAATCTGATGAAAATGTGGACCCCCTCCCTTGAAAAATGAGGTTACATATATGGTTGAGCAAAAGTAGGTTTACAGGTGTATGTGAAACATGGAGTTTATTCTTATATTATTATTTATTAATTATTGTATAATTTTCCATATGAACCACTGTAAACCGACTTTTGTCGAACCCTGTAGGCACATGTACAACCAATCACAGTCTTCTACTAGAATTTCAGGGGGTTCAAAAATTCCCAAAGGTCCATGGACCTCAGGCCAAAAATTCCTGAGCTTAAAGAATCTGTGGCCCAGGGGGATTACTTTCTGGAACTGGCTATAATAAGAATATGGGTTCTGGAACCAAATTGCCCAGATTTGACTACTGGGGACCCCAGTTCTTTGCTGGGTGACTTAGGCAAGGATTAACCTCTGTGAGGTTCAGTTTTGTCACCTGTAAAATGTGGATAATGATAATATTTTGCACTTTTCCTATCATACTGTCCTGTGATAACATTATTTGAAATAATGAAAATCCCTCATGCTGTTAGCTCTGGGATCTTGAGCAACTTTATTAGCCCCTCTGAGAACCAGTGTTTTCATAGGTACAGCAGGGACAATAATACCCACCTTGTAAGATTGCTGTTTTCTGTGTATCTAAGAGCATGCCTTACTCAATAAATTTCACTCATATAGTTAATGATATTATGCCATTACCATCTTTGTTCATTATCAGTAAACACTTCCTTTGGTTCCTTCACAGCTGTTCAAGCTGGGATGGAGATTATTGAGCAAATGGCCAAAGAAAGAAACATCCCAGATTTAAAAGGTTCTGAGTCTCTTGAATTTCTGAAGGTTGATTATGTGAACTACAATTTTTCAAAGTAAGTAAAAGAGAAGAGCATTGTTGGCAGTGAAATTCATTTTCAAACTCTCAGGGTTGTGGATACGCCACCACCTGCTCTGGTGACACATCAGGACCTGCAGAGTAGAAGTTAACCAACCTTTGGTGAGGGGCTTATCAGATAAACCACCAAAGAAAAAAGGGGTCATGAAGCTGACAAAGAGTGTGGCATTTGGGTCAGAACACCTGGGTCCAGGTCATGTCTCCACTGCATACTGTTGTGTGCACCTGGCGAGTCTGCTCAGAGTCTTGATGTCCTTGCATCCTGGCCTCTCCCCTAAAATGAGAATTCTAATCCAACACAGTTGTCAGCTGCGGCCACCTCACCCCTCACATTCTAAAGGAAATTCTTTTTCATCCCATTGCTACCTTTACCCCCCATAAACCAAGAACAGAATTCAACCACAGTCTTGAAAATAAATCTACTCTCATCAAATATTGTTTTATTAATTAAAGGGTAGTCAAGATTTCAGAGGTCACAGGGCACATGGTCTCCGCCCTCCTGCTCTCTTGACCTCTCCTCTGGGGAACACAGGTTTCTTCCACTGGCTCATGCAACCCAGCCCTACCCACTCAGGGTACCAAAGGCCCTTCCTTTATACTCTAAGCGCTTTTCAAAGTAATTTTCCAATCAACAAACTTCTCTTCCTAAGAAGAGTTCTGGTAGCAGCTGTAATCCTTTCTGCCATGTTATAGCAATAAAGTCAAATGTCAAAATCAGTTAACAGTCAGAATCAGATGATGTCACAAATGTGAAAACACTTCATGAAGCTGAAACTGCTTGCTGCACAAGTGTTGTTAGTTGGTGTCCATAATGATAGCGTAAGGACATCATTGTCAGAACAATGGAATTGCCACATCGGTTCATATCCTTATTGCACCCAGCCCAGAGTTTTGAAATTGAATTAATTAGGAATAAAGTTCAGCTGAATATAACAGCAAATTACAGTGGCTTAGATGTAATAGGGATTTATTTTTGTCTCACAAATAAGAAGCTCAAAGGAGACAGTAGAGGCCCTGGCTGGTATTGCTCAGTGGTTGGAGCTTTGGCCTATGCACTGGAGGGTTGCAGGTTTGATTCCCAGTCAAGGGCACGTGCGTGGGCTGCAGGCTCAGTACTCAGCTCTGTCTGGGCACGTGCAGGAGGCAACCAATTAATGTCTTTCTCTTGGATTGATGTTTCTCTCTCCGTCTCTCTCTCATCTCATTAATAATTTTTATATTGATTACATGTTAAAATGATATTTTAGATGTATTGGGTGAAGTTAAAAAAAGTAAAATTACTCTCACCTGTTTTTTCCCCTTTTTAATGTGGTTTCTAGAATACTTTAAATTATGTGGCTCACATTATATCTCTATTGGACAGATTTACAGGGACCTTTTTTTACACATGCCCTTTGACCCAACAATTCTGCTTCTCAGCATCCTCTGTAGAGAAACACATACCTTTACTGCACGTGTGAGGATTTTCACGGTGGCATCATTTATAATACAGAAACACTGGAAACAGCCTTGTTGGTGGACACCAAAAAAGGAATTACTATTTTTTTAATGATACACCCACAGCTTGGAATACTCTACAGTAGTTCAAAGAATGGGTAAGACCCATATCTGTCAAACGGAAAATATTTCCAAGATGTTGTCTTCCCACGAAGGGTCTCAGGTGTGTCCCAGAGAATAAGTAGGAAAGGATGCAAAGCAGAGGAGATAGCCAGCCATCACGTCTTACCAGCTATCACACGTGTCTTAAATTTTTCCTGATCTAGCTCACAGCCGTGGCTTCCTCCTGTGCAACACTTATACTCAGCTGGCCTCATTTTGTCTCTGTAACCGGCCTGTAACACTTCCTCCGAGTGACTAGCTGAAAAAGGTTGCGTGTCTTACCCAGGGCTGCACGGCCAGTGCAAAACTTGTCTCCGGGTCGAGTGCCCTTTGCCCAGTAATGAAGCAGCATAGCCTAGTGGTTAAGAACACGGTCTGAAGAAGACTGGGAAGGCTTCTAGTTCTGGTTCTACCACTTATATATGACTTCAGCCAAGTTTCTTATCTTCCCATCTTTGAACTGCAGTTTGCAAAAAACAGCAGCAGCCTCATAGGATTATTGCAAGGGTAAAAATGAGCTAACACATGTGAAGTGCTCACCACTGTGCCTGGCAGGGGGTAATCACCGTCAATGTTCATAACAGTAACATTATAATGCAAGTGGCCATCTACCTATATAGATTACATGCAACCCAGGGCCTCCTAGGTACCTGTTTGACAGCTCAGAAAATCCTAGGGAAGCTCTAAAATAAGTTTCTCAACTAGGGGAGATACTGTCCACATAGAGGGCATTTGGGAAGAGGAGAAGACACCCTTTTGATTGTCCCAGTAATTTGGGGGGAGGGGCACTACTGGTATTTAGTTGGCATATACACCAAATATCCTGCAATGCATATAACAGTTCTCTAAAATAAAAAAAATTTTTTTAAAAGTTGTCCCACCCAAACTACTAATGTCCCCCCAACTTAGAAACACTGGAACAGCTGAAGGAAAAGATATGATGGCAAATGTTCCTCTTTCTGTCTATAAAGAAACTAAAAAAGTAGATTGATTCTTTGCAAATTTGTTTCTACACTTGCTCATTTCTCCCCTCAGTGAGACACAGGAGCTCCCTGCCCAGAGTTTGAGGGGAATTAGAAAGTTGGGCTCAGAGGCAGCACTGCAGACCTGAGGTTCCTTGCTCCCTAGAAATTCACAGCCATGATTTCTACAACTGCATTTCTGATTTTGCCTTACTTAGAGATGTATTAGAGGAGTCTCCCTAACTCTCTGTTTCTTGTTTTTACAGCATAAAAATCAACGCCTTATCATTCCCAAACACTTCATTAGCCTTTGTGCCTGGGGTGGGAATCAAGGCGCTGACCAACCACGGCACTGCCAACATCAGCACCAACTGGGAAGTCAAGTCTCCACTTTTGTAAGTATTCCCTGGAAAGCCTGCTGCTGATCTGGGGGGAAATGGAGCAAAAACCCAAAGTGTATAAATTTGCTGATGTTTTTGGTGTTAAGCTTCTTTCCTCAACCATTGATACTCTTTCTCAAGAGCATTTTTCCAGGAGAGATTTAAATCAGAATGTCTCTGCTGGGAGTGAGAGAGGGGAGGGGGCTGAAAATCATCTTTACCTTAAAGGCAAAGCAACTGATCAAAATGTCCTTTACGATTTCCTAAGAGCTAGAAGTCCCAGACAGTTGGAGAAATGGACATGTGCTCAACATTTGAGATCCCCAGTAAGTCCACTGTGTGACCTTAGCCAGTCATCTAACACATTCCCCACCTTTGGGGCATCTGATGGGAACTGGAGCCTTCCTGCCTCACAAGGAGGTTGGAGGATGATAGTCAGCTTGAGCCCAGCTCTCCCCTAACAAAAGGCCTTTACATCCCCCTTAGAAAGAAGCCATCAAACTCAGGGCATGCTTACAGACCACCTTACTAGGTGCAAGTTGCTATCCTGGGCGTAATGTTTAGGTCTGCCTTGGTTGGTGCCTCAGAATAATACATTCATTCACTCACTTGATCATTTAACAACCATTTCTTGAGTACCTACTCTTTACCATTTATTCCCATCTCAAGAACTCCAAGAACTCTTGTAGACTGGAGAGAAATGACATATTCTCCTATAAGTAACATGGACTCACGTATCCATTCTTGTCTTCGCTGACTCATGAGCCTTACAAATTGCATGCTTATTTTGCATTAGGCCACCAGCTAAGTCCTGAGGACACAGACATGAGTAACACACACTCCACTCCTTCAAGGAGTTCACAGACTATATCTAAGTGTCACTTCCCCATCTGTGTCCCTCCTACATAGGTGTGGCCAACTTTACCCCCATGTTCTCTCTAAACAAGCACTGTATGTGAATGGTGCTCAAAATGTGCTCAACCACTGTGGGGGGAGGGGAGAGCACTCAGGATGAAATAACTGCAAGGTCCCTAAAGCTGTCACCATTCACATAATTCATCACTTCATTTGTTCAACAAATGTTCGTTCAGCACCTACTCTGATCCTACCTGTTATAGGTGCCAGGAATCCAGAGGTGACAAAGGTCCTGCCCTCCAGGAGCTCAGAGTCCATGAGTAATCAGAGAGCTGAGCCATCTCCTCCCCTGCGAGGCCTGGGTAACCTTATACTTTTTCTCTCAACAGCCAAGACTCAGGAGGGGCTAATCTGTTTCTCTCTGGGGTCTACTTCACTGGTATCCTTATCGTGGGCCGAAATGACTTTGGTCAACCCATCCTGAAGCTCCAAGACTGCTATGCCCAAGTGAGCCATGCCCATGTCTCATTTACTGGAGAACTCAGGTGAGTGAGAGTGCCTTGGTTGGCAGTGGCTAGTCAGGGGCTAGTTCCCGGGCAGCACCTAGGGGGGGTTTATAACCAACAGATACGGTCCCTGAGTGAGCCCTTTTTCCCCTTATTTCCCTAGTGTCCTGTATAACTCCTTTGCTGAGCCCATGGAGAAACCCATTTTAAAGAACTTAAATGAAATGGTAAGTATTTTGAGGTTACATAACCATGGTAAAATGCCATCAACAGCAGTTCTGCCATGCTTCAATTAACTCCCAATCCATAAACCTTTACTGAGCACCTACTGTGTGCTAGGCACCATCCAAGGCTCTTTCACACATATCACCCTACAGCATTCCCTTCCTCAAGTTCATGCTACAGGGTGGGCAAAAAATCAACAAGAATTTATTTATCGCATACCTACTGCATGCCCAGCACCAAGCTAGCGCCTGCTGGGGATGTGAAAAGAAGTAAACTTACCATCTTTTTAGAAGAACTAAACTCAGGCTTTGAAACATTCACTGAATATGTACATACTTATTTGACCATTAGATTGAATTGAAGGGGTTCAGCAGAATGGGGAAATTAAATAAATAGAGCCTGGAAGTATCCTGAGAGACAGTTTCAGAGGATGCAGGACTTGAACTGGGCCTTGAAGTGCAGGTAGGATTTGGATAGGTAAGGAATGGAAAGAAGACAGGACATTTCCAGCCAACAGAAACAGGGGCTTCCGAAGCTACAAGCATCTGGACTCCAGAAGGCATTGTTTGAGGAAGGGGAAAGACAGAGCTGGCCGTGTGCCCTCTCTCCAATCTTGACCATACCTTCCCTGACCCCTTGACCTGTACTTTGTGGGAGACAAGGAGAGGGATGGAGAGGACTGGAAAAGAAGGGAGACCCCTTTCTGGAAAAGAGGGGTAAGGACGGTGCCTGGCTACCTCCCTCTCCCTGTGCTCAGCTCAGTGTCTGGCAGGCAGCAGGTGCTTAACAAGTGTCAGCGAGGAAATCGACACATAGGAGCACTAAGCAGCCTGTGCAGTGAGATTGCCGGCTGGTCAGGGGACTCTGAGGCTCCATGGTCTTTCTCCATCTCACCTGACAGGTGCTGGGGGCCCAGGAATGTGCATATTAAAGAGCGACTGGGAGATAGTGCTGCCACCTTCCAGGACCTCACGCTTGATCATTCCTGTGTTCAAAATGAGGCGTGGTTCTTGGCCTCTGAGAGGAAGCCAATATTTAAGTTTGCCTGGAGTTTATATATGACTTAGAAATCATAGATCCTTTGCCTCTTGGATACCCTCTGAACCACTGGAAAATGAAAAGAATGCTCAGACCATGCTAGAGATGTGACTCCTGGTGACTCAACCTCTTCTTCAGTTTTCCCATTATTAGGGAATAGTAGTGCTTACCTCCCAGAGCTGTAGCAAGGATGAAAGGGGGTTAAAACAACAGCTAACATATACTGAATGCTTACTCTTAATAACCTGATGAGGTAGATACGATTATCAGTCCCATTTTACAGATGAGGAAACTGAGGACAGAGAGTACAGGTAACTTGCCAAGGGATTCAACCCAGGCAGCCCAGCTCCCAAGCATCTGCTAGTAACCACCACACTGAGTACTTAGCACGTGCCTGGCACACAGCAGGTCCATCAATGTTGGTACCCTTCCTCCTTCCTACAGATGTGCTTCAGTCTGATTCAAGATTGATTTTCTATTTCCAAATGGGGTTCTGATCGAAACAGATACCTGATCTAATGGGCTGTCGAACCAGCCCAGCGGGGAGGTAAAGGCCCCAGGTGTGACCGCTCCTGGCAGCATGGCACAGACGGCAGGGCAGGGGAAAGGCACTGCGGGTTCCTTGGGTGTGACAGCACTGCATGGACTGGGGCACATGTCCTGTCATGCCACAGGAAGAAAAGGCAAGGGATCATTCTTTTATGGGCCTCTCTGGGTGTAGTCCAGTTGCTGTGGAGTTTAGTCAGCATTCAGTGACATGCCACCCATACATACGTAACTGGAGGCCCATAGGCATCAACTAATTTAAGAGACAGTCTTGATGGCCAAAGGGAGGATGTCTCCTAGCCTTTGTTTACAGGGTCTAGGCCCATTAATAGAGGTTTCCAGTATAATACACTAACCTGCATTTTTTTGATTCCTTTTATGGCCAGCTCTGTCCCATTATCATGGGTGAGGTGGAAGCACTGAATGCCAATCTCAGCATGCTGGAAGGTGAGTCTCTGAACTGTCTCTTCTGGGCGGTTCTCTCCCCACCTTTCCACTTTGGTGCTCTCCAGGTTTGCTTTCCACACAGTATAGCTCCGCCTCTTCAGTGTGCTTTCCATTCTGCAAACCAGAGCTGGGGGACAGTGTGTGGAGGGACACTACCTGTGTATGAGGCCTACTCTTTGCTGCTGCAACCAATTTCTTGCAGGAGAGAGTGGCTTCAGGAGACCAGTGGCAGTTCAGAGAGTTAAAACTATCACAGGCTTTAATCCCAGCTCTGGCACTAAATGCATTCTCTTCAGAATGATTAATGCTAATAAGGGACAGATTATCCCCCGGTTCTAACCCCTTCATTGGCTCCTCGCTGCCTTCAGGATCAAGTCCAAACACTATAAATGGACTACAAGACCCACCCACCATGCTCTGGCTTCACCTTGAACCTTTCCCTGCTCCAGCAATCAAACTGCTTCTCCTACCCTCACACCCCGGCCATTGCTCATGTTGTCCTCTCTGCCTAGAAGAGCTTTCTCTCCTCTGCATCCATTTATTCATTTAATAGATATTTACTGAATGCCTAGTTCTTTGCCAACACTGAGCTAAGCCGTGAGGGATGCAGTCCCTTCCACTCCCTACCCCTCAGCCATCCCTACCCCTGTTCACTCCTCTTTGTCTTTTAAAGCTCAGCTCAGGCATAGTCTCTTTCAAGAAATCTTACCTGATGCCCGCACCCCAAAGTTCTGCTACCTCTGTACTCACATGATACTTTGAAAGTATCCGTCTCTTTCCACTCCACCCATTCATTCACCATTAGTGTAGACCAGGTGCTGTTCTTGGTGCTGTAATACAGCAGTAAGCATTGGAAACAGAAATCCCTGCCCTAATAGGACTGGTGGGAGGAGACAGACAGCAAACAAGATAAGTAAAACCTATGGCATCCTAGTGATAAGAAGAAAAATAAAGCAGGTAAGGAGCTGGAGAGTGGTTTTCATTCTAGATAGTGTGGCCAGGGGCTTCTTCTATTTTAGATTTCCATTTTAGATACTGAGAAAGTAACACAGAGTGAGGATCTGAATGAAATAGGGAGCGAGCCACTCCTAGATCTGGGTAAAGAACATTTCAGGTAGATGAAACTGCAGGCTCACAGATCCTAAAGCAGAATGTGCCAGGTGTACTGAAGGAGGCCATATGGGGAACAGGGGGCGCGAGGTGGGGAGAAGCAGGAGGTGAGGGCAGGGAGGAGACAGCAGGTTGTTAGATGTCCGGGGCTCTGTAGGTCACTGGGAAGGCAAGGCTTGCATGATCTCACCTATATTTTAAGAAAAGTGCTCTGACTTCTATTAACAATAGAAAGGAGGGAGGCAAAGGTAGAAGCAGAGAGACCACCTAAGAGGCTACAACGGTGACCCACACGAGCCTGGGTGAAGATGGTAAGACACAGTCACGTCCTGGGTGCACCTTGCAGGTAGAGACAGTGCTATTTGCTGACACGTTGAATGTGGGTCGTGAGGGGAGTCAAGGATGATCCCCAGGTTTTCACCCTGAGCCACTACAACATTGGAAGAATGGAACTACCACTTATACAAATGGGGAAGACTATAAGAATAGGTTTGTGGTGGGGCCATCAAGAGCTCAGCTTTACATCGGCTTTTACTACACTGTGTTCTAATTTCCTGTTTACATGTCTGTTTCCTCCACCAGACTGTGAGTTCCATAAGGGCAGGGACTCTGACTCATCTCTGTGACCCCAGCACCAGGCACAGTGCCAAAGCCACACTAAGTTAATAAATATTGGATTGATGAAGGGATGACAGGAGATGGGCAGCTGGACAAATGGATTGATGAATGGATACAGGGGGATGAAAGAAAATTAAGGGATTGGGGAGGTGAAGAAACAGAAGATGGAGTGAAGAAAGAACTGGCCAAGGGTTCTCTTGTCCTAGCTGCCTTGGGCAAGTTTCTTTACCTCTGGGAGCCTCACTCTTCTCACCTGTAAAATGGTCACTGTCCTGCTTCCATCACTATGTGGTGATGGAGCCATTGCGATTGCGAATTTGAAAGCAGTTGTTAAAACTATGGTGACACAGGGCAGTATTGCTCCCTCACCCTGGCAAATCACTTCATCTCTTCTCATTTCTCATCTCCATCTGTGGAATAAACCAAACATGGCATGCAGGAAGGGAAGCTGTGGTGCTCATGTGCCTTCCTGCAGACCAGGGAGGGAGTCTTCATGTCACTGCACATGGTGGTGGTCGGCAAAGCAGCTCCCAGGCAGGTCGAACCGAGCACCACACCACTGTGGTGCACCCTGTCTCGGACAGAGAGCCCCGCTTCCTGCAAGCCACGCCCGCTGTTCCCTGGCCCCTGCCTCCCCTTCTGCTTGGCTCTGAAAGCGCTCGTTCAAAAGCGACGCGAGTCAGTAGCACTGTGCCTGACAATGTCCTCGGCCCCTCCAACTATGGGAATTTTACTCCTGTTCGTCTGTCTGTCTGTCTGTTTCTCTTGATATTTCTTTTTAAAAATTATTTCTAATTACTACAGTAATACATGTTCACTGTAAAAAAATTAAGTTCTAACTACATAGGAGGCTTTAACATAGAACTTGAAAGTCTCTCATTATACCAACCTAGTATGTTTGGCTTAATATTGACCAGTGACTTTTGTTTCTCTAACTTCCTTTTTAAGAAAGAAGTA